ATGCGAGTATGTCGGTATATATTTACATATGTAATAACGACAACGGCGAATTTGATGAGAACAACGAGAACAAGCAACAAACGAAAACTGCCGACGGTTGGCTGAGATTGACGTGGGGGGGGATGCCGTATGTAAAAGTGGCTATGTATATTTATGTATGTATAACAAAATCAAACGACAATAAATTGGCACTTTAAATAATTGCCTATGTCAGGTTCTTTATTGTATGCATTTCTTCAGTTTATTAACATACAAGTTATTAATTAAACTCTATATATATAAGAACTTAAAATAAGAATAACTTCTGCTGTGCTCTCGTCCACGCACACGTCTGCTCTCTTCGACCACTCAAACGATACCCTCTCTCCTCATACTTGACATTCGGCCTCTCCTGACAATCCGCCGTCATCGCTTGTGTATTCATACATCTGCTCGTCGATATCCAAGTTTGGAATTAAGGCACACATTGGCCTCATACTCTTCATACTGTAATCCTGGTTGTCTGCTCATACCATCCACGTGTGGCATGTCAACTCCTGGACGATGCTTGCATGTAAAGTCAAACTCCTGTAGTTTGAGCCACCATCTTGCTATCGGCGGTTGTAGCTCCGTTGAATCCTTGAGTGTCACCACTGCATTGCAATCTGTTACCACCAAAAAATGAGATCCCAGCAGATATACACGAAATCTATCCAGTGTCTCGGTAATTGCCAATATTTCTAATGCATAGCTGGAATACCTGCTTTCGGCATCGCTACACAATCGGCTGTAATAGAATACAGGTTTTGTGCCTTCCTCTTCTCGTTGGAACATAATGCCAGCTATTCCCATCTTACTAGCATCGGTATGCACCTCGTGGTATTTCATGGGGTCGTAAAGAGTCAAAACTGGCTTCGAGGTTAGGGCGTCTTTTAGCTGTAGAAATGCCTGTTCTTGGTCTTCTCCCCACATGAACTCCACATCTCCACATCCATCAACAGCTTGCTTAACGGGTATGCGATCATACTGTAATCCTTGACGAACTTGCGGAAGAATCCCGTGATGCCAAGGAATCTTCGTACCTCTGTTTCATTACCTGGCTGTTGATAGTCTTTGATGCACTCGGTCTTCTCGTTGCCAGGCTGGATTCCGTCGCCTGTGATTACGTGTCCCAAAAACTTGACTTTTGCTTGCATGAATGCACATTTGGATGGACGTAGCGTTAGACCAGCAGATCTAACAGCTTCCATAAATTCGTTCAGTATGAGCAGCCCTTCTTCCACAGTTTTTGAAGAAATTATGACTTCATCTACGTAGTTAATGATATTTCGTTGGTACTTCAATTGCCGTATTATGTCTGTTATGACCTCTTGAAATACCATCGGCGCATTTACCAAACCAAATGGCATAACATTGAATTCGAATAATCCATTTGGTGTCATGAAAGCTGTAAACTTTTTGCTTTCGTCGCTCATCGGGATCTGATAATATCCTGACGTCATGTCTAGCGTTGTAAAGCAAACGTTTCCGGACAACTTGGCCAACTGCTCCTCTACAATGGGCATCGGGTACCGCTTCTTTATGGTGACTGCGTTGAGAGCTCGATAGTCAACACATAGCCTTTTCTCTCCGTTTGCTTTGGGTACCAATATTGCTGATGCTGCATGTGTTGACGTGCTCCTCTGAATAACATTGTAGCTTAACATGTCATCGACCAAAGTGTTCAGCGTCTCTCTTTGAGCGAATGGTACTTGGTATCGCCTTCCCAAAATGGGCTTCGTTGTCGATACTTCAATCGTCATTACCGTTGCTTTGCATCTGCCAATATTTGATAAATCTTCGGCAAAACAGTCTGTATAGCTTTTTAACAGATCGCTCACCTGATTGCGTTGGTCGGGGTCGATGTCGGTGCCAACATCAAACCCGACCTGTTCCATCGTTGCCACCTTTGAAATTGGTCCATCCATGTCCAGCAGATCTTTATCATGGCATATAATATCTCTTCCCACTAGAACATCATATGGAAGAACTTCGTCTGGCACCACCTGGATTCTCGTGTACAATTTTAAATTGCCGCATGTGAACTCCGTTAGGATGCATTCCTCTGATCTAACAACAGAGCCTCCAAAACCTTGAAGACTTTTGGTAGACGGCTGCCGCAATGTTCCTTTTGGTACTGATGATTTTTTGATAAGTGTGTTATCACTGCCCGTGTCAATAAATGCCTCAAACGTGTATCCTCCGATATGTACTGTTTTCATTATTGGTGGATACTCCTTGGATTGTGTCTCTTTTACTTGAGCCACCTTTGCTGGTTTCACATAACAATCCTTTTCTTCATGTCCAATCTTGGAACACTTGGAGCAACGTTTCTTTCGTTGGGGCTCTGGGCATTTTGCTGCAATATGCCCCAGATTATTGCAATTATAACATTTAATTGCCTTCGTCTTGCCATCAGTTTCGTCATGGTGCCTCTCGCTGTTAACAGTAGTTGCGTTGTATTGGTGTTGTTGCATTCCTTGAGCCGATCTCATATTCTCCAGTGATCTGAAAAGCTCTGAAGAAGTGCGTATGTTCATCGCTAGCAATGCCTTTGTTGTCTCTTGCTGGTTGAGTCCGTTGATAACATATGAATTTATCGATGGCTCATCGATATTCGCTCGACGCCCGATAGCTAACATCGCATAGAAATACTCACTTAATGATTCGTTGCTACGCCGCTTGCGTCGCATCAATTCTCTATGCACATCGGCCGTATTCACCACACTTGGAAAATCCAACCTTAGGGCTATTTTGAATTGCTCCCAAGTTTGATATACCTGCTGTGAGTCAAGCCATGTTTTTGCCACTCCGCGCATTTTATGCTGCACTGCAAAAAGTACCGTTTCGTTTGTCCACACATACATATTTTGAAGCTGTTCAACTTTCGCAATAAATTGCTCAGACGTTATAAACCCTTTTAATGGATCAAATTCCGGTAGTACGCCAATTACTTCTTTGATGCTTGTAAAGCCATGACCTTGAAGACTTGGTGACGTTCGTACATCTTCGTTTCGCAGCGGCTGTTCTACCTCAGTTGCATTGCCATGTGCCGTTACCGTTTCCAAGCGCCCTTGTCTATGCGTGACCTGCGCTTGTTGTTGTTGCGGCATACACACCGTTTGCACTGTTGTCGTTAGGCTTGCTACCATCTGCTTTAATTCGTCGATTTGTTTCTGCATACTTGTATTTGCTTCCAATGCCGGGTACTCATCTGTGTCAATTTCGTCTCCGCCTATGACTTGTATCAACTCGTTAATTTTCGCTGCCTTGTTTCCTTTGACTTGGATATTATGCTCTTGCAAAATAATATCCAAATCGCAAATTCGCAATTGATTTAGTGTCACTTGCATCGTTGGTTATTTTATTTGTTTCCTTTACGTTGAGACCGAAAATATACGCACATCTGCACTTGTTGCCGTTTGCTTTTCGACTCCCATTAATTGCGATCTTTTTCTATCGTTTTGCTGACTGTCTGTCTTCTTCACCGTTGCTGCCGTTCGGTGCCGCTTTTTTTTCCCCTTTTTCTATTTCCTTGTTCTCCTTTTGTCGTTGCTAGAACCTCGACTCGTTGCTATGCCGCGCCGTGCGTCGATATTTTTACCTTTCGATCGACCGTTTTGCTAATTCCTGCCGTTTTTTCGATCTTCCTCTTTGCTGTCAACCGTTTTGCCAATTCGTGCCGTTTCGTTGATCTTTTCGCCCTCGTTCGTTGAGCTTCGTTACTATCGACCGTTTTGCTTTGCATTGCCGTTTTGCTTTACCATGCCGTTTTGCTTTGCCGTGCCGTTTTGTCGAAGTTATTATACATACATTTTATTAATTAAATATTCTCTCGTGTAGAGATGAACTCGTATCCCACTTCTGAACTGTCAGGTTCTTTATTGTATGCATTTCTTCAGTTTATTAACATACAAGTTATTAATTAAACACTATATATATAAGAACTTAAAATAAGAATAACTTCTGCTGTGCTCTCGTCCACGCACACGTCTGCTCTCTTCGACCACTCAAACGATACCCTCTCTCCTCATACTTGAACCTATAGCGGTTCACTTTTATTTAATATTAGTACGACATGCGATTTATATTTGTGTTAATTATGCTCAACTATCTACCGTATTATATTATGGTCACGTATGTGCCAAAGGTTGAAAGTTGAAGGCCGAAATAAGCAATTCGCTGGTTAAATTCCACTTTCAAACTTTAGCACAGTACCTGTGAAGTCGACTTTGGCTCAGGAACTTCCCTTTGGTCGACTTGACTCATCCTCCAATAATCCAGTTGACGTGACAGCAACACACACAATCCCCAGTGCAGCAACAACAACACGACCGACGCGGTTCCGCACAAATTAAAGTTTTTAATTAAAAAAAAACAAGCAAGTCCCTGCTCGGGCGCCAATGAAAATTTATATTATTTTATATAAATTATTAAAAACAAAGAAAGAATGGGACGCTTGCTTTTAACTTTTTAATGCGGAAAATGCGAACGATTTGGCGACAATTGTGCTTATATTTAGTTCTATTTTATAACTGACTTCAAATTAGGCTTACATGCTAAACTAAGCCTAAGGCGGCGAAAAGAGGGCGCGAGGCGACGTCCGCAAACGGCCGCTCTCGCGCTCTCTTTTCGCCCTAAACTAAAATTCAAATAATTCTCTTAAACTATCTTAATCTAATGCAGCATCTGCGCCAACAGTACGTATGCGTCTAAAACAAAGTTGTGAACTAGGTAATCGCCTTGAATTCGGACAGTTATTGCATGTCCTTCGCGTTCGAAAGGTATCGGAATCATTTTGTATATTCTAGATGTTTCTTGTTTAAACAGTGGAATTTCTGCATTGATTATAAGTTTTGTGTCAATTAACATTGCGTGTGCTTCTAATAGATTATAAATTTCTCTTATTTCAGCGCCTGTGCCTGAACCTGGTAATTTCATGCGTTGGGGTAATTTTCCCCTAATAATTTCTATTTCCTTGCCTAATTGTTCTAATGTTAATAGTTTCGGATTTATGTGTCCGTGGTTTAGATCGACCAGTAGGTCGATAATGGCATTTACTGTTTCTTCACAATAGTCCATCATTAAGTTTACTTGGGCTACCCCTACTTGTATTGTTGAAACTACACGGTTCTCATTTCTTTCTTGAACTACTTCTTTATCAATCGAGTTAATTTGGTTCCCAAATAATTTTAATCAATTATTAAGCTCAGTGGTAGCCTTCTGCACTAAATCTATGGTTGCATCAATGATTGAGGTTTGCTTCTTATGAAGTGTGACTATGTCTTCCTGATTTTTAAAAAGGTCACGCATATTAGCTTCTATATCACGTCGATCTTGTGCGTCCATTGATCCAAATAACACTCGATGTAACGATCCGATCATTTCAATTGCTCTTTTGTTTCTTGTAGTGTTTGTTAAGGCGTGTCTCATCAGGAATATCCATTGCCCCGATTTGATCCATATAAATCATGGTGTTGCTGTCCAATGCTGTTATTCTATCTGACGTGTTAATAGAACCTGCGTCAATTGTTATCGGTCTTATTATGCTAGTTGCTAAGAGTATCATGATATATTTTATTAGTGGCATTTTCTGAGGTTCTTTTGGTGATAGTTTTGGCCTTTCATTTTCTGTTTCCAGTGGGCATAGTTTGGCTATTGGTCTTTTTACTATGCCGTTCTGAGTTTTTATAGAAGCTATTCTTACTTTCCCATCTTCCCCTGGATGAATTACTTCTATTCGTCCTAGTGGCCATTTTGCCGCACTGGTATTTTCGCTCTTTACAAAAACTAATTGCCCTACCTCCAAATTTGGTAGGTTCTTGGTCCATTTGAACCTTTGTTGGAGGGTCGTTAGATATTCCTCCTTCCATTTTTTCCAGAAATTATTTTTCATTTTTGTTAATAATTTCCATCTGTCTAACGATGACACTGTTCTATCGTCGATTGGTTCTGGGGGGTCTAACATGGGTTTGCCAGTCAAGAAATGACCCGGAGTTAAAATGTCGTCAAACTCGTTGCTGTTATCTATCTTGTATAGTGGCCTAGAGTTTAAGACGGCTTCTATCTGTGCTAGCAAGGTGCTCATTTCTTCAAAGGTCAGTGTGGTGTCGCCTATTACTCGTTTTAGGTGATATTTTACTGATTTCACACCAGCCTCCCAGATTCCTCCGAAGTGAGGACTTGCCGGGGGAATAAAGTGCCATTGTACCTTTTCTGACTCCCATACTGGTGATATGCTGTTTTGTTTCAATGCGTTAGTAAAATCCAAATGCATTTTTCTATCTGCGCCAATAAAATTCGTACCGTTGTCTGAATATATATGAGAGCATTTCCCTTTTCGGGCTATAAACCTTTTGAATGCTGCGAAAAAGGCTTCAGTTGTTAAGTCGCTGACTGCTTCTAAATGCATAGCTTTTGTGCTCATGCAGATAAAAACTGCTACATATCCTTTGTAGGATTTGTTCCCTCTACCTTTCGAAACAGGAATTTGAATGGGGCCCGCATAATCAATCCCTGTGTGCGAGAAAGGGCTTGAAACTTTCACTCTGTATTCTGGCATTTGACCCATTAGTTGCTGTGCAGTTTGTTGTCGATACCTCGTGCATTTTATGCATTGCCTTACGCATTTTTATACCCTGTACCCGTAGGGTAAAAAGGGTATATTAGGTTTGTGCAAAGTATGTAACATGCAGAAGGAAGCATCTCTGACCCCATAAAGTATATATATTCTGAATCAGCATGACGAGAGAAATCGATCTAGACATGTCCGTCCGTCTGGATGAACGCGAGGATCTCAGAAACTATAAAAGCTAGAATAACCAAAGTTGGCATCCAGATTCTCGTAGGTCCGAGAAAGGACGAGTTTATTTTATTTTTTTTAATTTTCCCCCCCTTCCCCGGTACAGAATTTCGTCAATAGCGTCCACATTTCAAATGCTACCTAAACCAAACTTTGCACACATAATTTATATATAATTGTCTACTGTTGTTCAAAATTTTATTCAATTCGGCCAATTCTAAATAAAGTTATTAGCAAAACAAATTCTCGCCAGTACAACCCCCCCAAACTGCAGCAACAAGTTCGCTCTTCTTCTTCCTCTTTTTGGTGCTGCTATGGGCGCATATAACTCAGTGACGGAAGTTTACCTGGGTACAGGGTATTACACTGTCGGGCTTGCTCGACTGTAGCGTTCTCTCTTGTTCTAATTCGGTTATTGTAATTTTCTTTGTTTCTGATTGTTTCCTGCAAAGTCTTGTGAATTTCATCACATAAGCTACGACTCGAATAAGTTTTCCTAATTGACTGCATCTATTAATAAGGCTGTCTAAGAAATGAGATTTGGTGTGTATACACATGACCGTTTGTTTTTGCGTTATGTCTTCTTTTGGCCACATCTCTTGATTTTCTTTCAGCCATTCTGGACCTTCCCACCATAGTTTATTTCCTTTTAATTTTTGTGGTTGAAGGCCTCGTGACGCTATGTCTGCAGGATTTTCTTTGGAGCCTACATGTTTCCATATGGCTTTCGGTAGCCATTTATGAATTTGTTCCACCCTAGTTCGGACAAACTTGTCTTTGCTTCTCAAATTGTTGATCCAACAAAGCGTTATCGTAGAGTCGCTCCAGGCGTATATCTGCCCCGTTGTATTTATTGTTGCAATTGTTTTTTGCAGCAAGTTTGAGAGTAGGTGCGCTGCACATAGCTCTAATTTCGGTAATGTTTTTCTATTTTTAATTGGATTCACTTTCGTTTTGCTTGTGATAATTGTTATTCCTTCTTCCGTTTTTCCGTAAACGACCGCTGCGTAAGCTAACTCGGATGCGTCTGCAAATCCGTGGATTTCGATGGGTCTTTCCTTCGTTGAATATATCCACCTCGGGATTGTAATTTCTTTAATTAATGGTAATCCTTGCAAAAATTCATTCCATTCTTTGGTCATATCTTCACTTAGTTTGGCGTCCCATTTGTATTGTGAGAGCCATAATCGTTGGATGAACAGCTTGGCTATTATGGTTATAGGTGCTAACCATCCTAACGGATCGAATATTCTTGCTAGTGACGATAATGCTTTCCGTTTGGTAATTGTCGATGATATGTCCACGTTTATATTGAATGTGAAGTTGTCTTCCTTTGGATTCCATTTTAGTCCTAGAGTTTTAATTGAATCTTCGTCCTTGATTTCAAATGGTTTATCTTCCTCTGACTCCGGTAGCTCTGATTTTATTTTTTCTTCATTTGTCGCCCATTTTCTCAAATGAAGCCCATATTTGTTTAGTTCGCTCGCGATTTCTTTTTGAATTTGAATGCATTCGCCTATGCTATCAGCTCCTGTCATTAGGTCGTCCATATACAAATCTTCTTTTATTATTTTCTTTATTGTTTCGTTTTCGCATCGATTTGAAATTTCCAGTAATGCTCTAGTGGCTAGGAAAGGAGCCGACGCATATGTGACAGTTGTCAGTTTGTATTCTTTCAAAGGTTCTTGGTTATTCCTTCTTCAGAAAATTCTGAGGTACTCTTGATCCTCTGGATCTATCTTTATTTGTCTGTACATTTTCTCTACATCTGCTGTCAATACATATTTAAATCCTCGCCACTGCATTATAAGTTCCATAATTGTTCTTTGTAGATGCGGGCCTATGTGTTGAATGTCGTTCAAGCTTTTTCCGTTTGAAGTTTTTGCCGAGGCGTCGAAAACTACTCGTAGTTTCGTCGTAACGCTTTCTTCCCGTATTACAGGTTGGTGCGGCAAGTAATATTTACCTTCCTTATTGCTTTCTGCTTCTACCATGTGTCCTTTATTATTATATATTAATCTCCCAATACCTCCCCCTCTATAAAAGGCATCTTCACTATAAATCTTCCCTTGTCATCCCTTCTAGTTGTTTTCTCAAAAAGGCACATGCATTTTTCATCATTGGTTACTACTGTGTCTTCAAAAACCTCTTCTAACTCCCAAAACCTTTCCAAATTAACCGCTACTGTGGCTTTTACTTGTCCTGCTCTTGGAATTTTTATTGGTCCTGATAGTATCCAACCTAGTTTGGTTTTTTGTCCTATCAAAGACCCTTTCTGTTTTAGTCCTTGGGAAAGTATTTTCGGTAATAGGTCGCTACCTATTAACAGGTCGATTCTGCTTTTCTTGTTAAAAAGAGGGTCGGCTAGAATTTCATTATTCCAATGAGCTAAGTTATACTCAAAGCTTGTGCGAGGCTGAGGATTTAAAAGTTTCGGCATAATTAAAGCTTCTGTGGTATATCTGGCTTCGCTAGGGAATCTGGGCCTTATTTGGATTTCTAATGCTGATTTGGCGGTTCCTATTAGGTTGTCACCAATCCCAAACAACTGTATCCTCTTCCTTACTCTAGGGAGACGAAGTCCTTGAGCTGCTTCTTCAGACACAAATGTCGATTGTGATCCTTGGTCTATAACTGCTCTTAAAATTATCCAATCTCCTGTTGCGGACTTTACCTCTACTAATGCTGTCGCTAGCAGGGTTGTTTCTAATGACTTTGTTGTTAAGGTTTCTTTTTTCTCCAGTACTTGGTGTAATAGGGTGTGGTGTCTGCCATTACATTTGATACAGGGTTTCTTTGATTCGGGACATATCTTGAAAAGGTCGTGGTCGAGGCATTTAAAACATAGCTTATAATCTTTTGCGGTTTTCCATTTGTCTTCAACTAGCAAGCCCAAAAATTTTCTACACTCTTTTATTTGGTGACCACTAAATTTGCAATGTACGTATTTCTCTATTTGTGTTCTTTGCTGATATTTAAAAGACACCTTTTGGGTAGGATTCAATGTTTTTATCGCTTGTAAGTGCTGTTCTAAAAATGCATATACATCATCTAATGATTGTATTTCTTTTGTTTTCCTTGTGAATTGCTCATATTGTTGTAGCCCTATTCTATCAAATTTCCTCAACAGGATTCTCGCAATAAATATTCCGTCATTCAAGGCGATCCCCATTCCCTCTATTGCATGAGCGCATTATCTGGTTGTGTCCAAGAACAACTGTACACTTCTTTCGGATTCACTATTCATCATGGGTTGGTCCATGATTTTATCTAATTGGTA